GACAAAAAGAAAACCTTCATCGCTAGGCATTCGATTGGAGAATTAAGAGAGATTATATGTGGGAAAATGCTCAGCAAACCTCAAAATGCTTACAAAAAATTTATTTATAATAGGTCTGCTTCTAACACTAATTATTACATTGATTTGTGACAGTAACTAGTAAATCTCTTTTTCATCAAGAAATGTAACACACAAGAAAATGTACGAGACAGATGTATATTTTAAAGGATGATAATGATTTTAAAAACACATTATTTAAGGGGCCAGCCCTGTGGCTGAGTAGTTAAAGTTCTAAGTGCTCTGCTCAAGCAGCCCAGGTTCACAGGTTCAGATCCCAGGTGCAGAACTACACCAGTCGTCAAGCCACACTGTGGCGGTGACCTACATACAAAATGGAGGAAGATTGGCACAGATGTTAGCTCAGGGCAAATCTTAAAGTGGCTAGCTTGGGCTTCCTCACAACATGGCAGTGGGATTCCAAAAAGGAACATTCCAAAAGGAAAATCCCCAATATGTAAGCATTTATCAAGCTTTGTTTGCACTATTTTTATAAATGTCTTATTGACCAAACCCAGAGTCAACTTAGGAGCAGACTTCACAAGGACATGAATTCTAGAAGTTGTGGTTCATTGGGAGCCAACAAAGCAATCCTCTACCACTGAGAGCCAAGCGGGTAGATTGACAGTATCACGGAAGTATTTATCCAGAGAGTGGTTGCCCAAATGTCAAGCCAGAATGTAATACTGAATCTTTATTACTTAGAATAGGTACTAAGAAAGGAAGGAAGTCCTCCAGTGTTAGATGGACAGGAAAAAAACCTGAGAAATAAAACATAAAATCTGAGAAATATTAATAAAATTGAAAAATTGAGTCATAATCAGACTCTTGAACCAGAGGTTCTTAAATTTCTCCAAACACCCTCTATGGAGAAGCAGAGTCAAATATAGCTTTGACAACAAGTTTTAGCTATGCCACTCACCTAGTGTAGAAAAAGAAGCACAAAGACTAGGAACCAGGATGTTCAATGTTTCACTTCTTACTTATGGCCCAAGTTAAAAATACAACTCATATTCTACCCCAATAGGAGCACATTTAGTACTATGAGGATTTCTTCATGACTACTCTGAAGAAATACTTGAAATTCTGGGTTTTCTTTTCTTTTTTTGCTTCCTCCAGAATCAGTAATGATAGACTCATTCCTAATATCAGAACAGTTTTCAAATAATAAACTTACATTGACAAAAATTCTAATGCATGGGGAGATTGAGGAGAATGCAGTGCTCTCTCTGGAGGCAAAGAAACTGGATGAGTACCCATGGCAACACAATTTCAAGGCAGTGGAATAACCATGAAATCAAGGGGTAAGAAAGCAGCTGTTGGATCCTGCACATTTAGCACAACTAATCAAACCAAGGTCAGCAGTTGGAAAAAGCTGTGAAGTGAAGAGAGAAACTTGAGTGACAGGCTTTGAAAATGTTGTCCACAGACAACATAGAAATGACTGTATTTGTGTTTAGGTATTGCAGAAAGGGCAATGTTCAGTTCCGTAATTTTTGCAACCATGGACAGCTAAACCATCATGAGCATCTTCAAACATGAAATAGAGTAGTCAGAAAAGATGTATTGTCTGAGAAACAATATGGCTCAAATCCAAATGTCTTCCTGACTGTAGACTCTGATATTCTCTCATTCATTTCTTGGATGGATTTATTGAACCACATTTTGCCCCATTTTATGCCAAGAACTGTACAAGCTATTTTAGATCACTTCCTGGGAAAACACTGTGTTTCCTAAACTCTGGCTTAAAATAAATAAATATATATACATATGTATTTTCTTCTTCTGATTAGTCTGATTTCCTAAACTCTGTCTGTATAGCTGTATAATCTGATTAGTCTGATTTCAGGCAACTCACTTTACCTAGCAAGGTTATGGTTTTCTTATTTTTAAAAAGGAAGTTTGTCCTCTCCTAAAATTCAGGAAGATAAATTCTGGCTCTAATAATTTTTTGGGTCCTAGTATTGATCAGCCCTTGGATGCACTCTAGATATATAGAGTGACATGAAACACTATCTGCTGAGGTTTAATTAACTGTTTAGCGGTCTAAGGTAAATATGTAAAAATATAAATAATAATATCTGCTAGCAAGAGCTAAGTATAATATTAAAAGGGCATTCATAATAAGTTCCTCAAGAGTAGAGAAGAGGAAGAAATCACCTCGGGCCAAACATATCTGAAAATTTTTCAAAAAGGAAGTAGAAATGGGGTGGAGAGAGAGTGGAGCTCACATCAGGAAGGAGAACTGATCTGAGCATAGCTCTGGAGCCAGATATTTAACTGTTGGCTTGAAACATGCTGATTGATGCCATCTCCAAGCCACCATACATAATTTCCAAAATGTTTAACTATTCATTCCTGAAAAGCATATCTTTTTTGTAAAGGTTGGCACCTGAGCTAACATCTGTTGCCAATCTTCTTTGTTTTTCTTCTTCTTCTTCTCCCCCAAAGCCCCCCCAGTACATAGTTGTATAGTCTAGTTGTAGGTCCTTCTGGTTGTGGCATGTGGGACTCCACCTCAGCATGGCCTGATGAGCAGTGCCATGTTGGTGCCCAGGATCCCAACCAGCAAAACACTGGGCCACCGAAGTGGAGAGTGCAAACTTAACCACTTGACCATGGGGCCAGCCCCTGCACTTCTTTTGTTTTGATGTCAGTTGGTCCTTTTCTTTTGACCACTCCCACCCCAGTTTTCCTACTGGAGAGAAGCCTAGACCAGCATTTCATATAGAAAGAGGTGGGAGTGCACTGTGTCTCAATTAAACAGTGCAGGGTTCTATTTAAGCATTTTTCTACTGAGTACGCACTTCATTTTTTTTCTCAAAAGCATTCCTTGCTAAAAAGGAAGTAAACTGATCACAACTCCAACCATGCCAATGGGTCTGAGGTCTTAATCTATGTACCTGACCCTGACATGCCAAAACAATCTGGCTACAGAAGAATCCCCTAGAATTGAATAATTTACACAAAGAATGGTTTGTTTTCTCCCTCTGACTTATTTCACTCAGCATAATACCCTCAAGGTCCACCCATGTTATCACAAATGGCTGGATTTCATCATTTCTTATGGCTGAGTAGTATTCCATCATGTATAAACAGATACCCTTGGAGCTCTGCTTCTCATCCTCTTGGCCCGCCTTTGCAATGGGGGTCCGCCTTCAGAGATGATAGGCAATTCTGTGTTAGGTCCAGCTCATGCTGCAAGGGTTGTATCTCATGCACAATATATGACTCTACACTTTCTGCCTCTGGGACCTCACCAAGGTGACAAATCTTTGCTATGATCCTCAACCTTAGTTGAATTAGGCATTAAAAAATTAAGATATCAGCACCATAGAGAAGGACAATCTCTGTATGACTCCACTCATATGAGGAATTTAAACATGTGGACAAAGAGAACAGATTAGTGGCTACCAGGGGAAAGGGGGGGTGGGTGGGTACAAAGGGTGAAGTGGTGCACCTACAACACGACTGACAAACAATAATGTACAACTGAAATTTCACAAGATTGTAAACTATCATAAACTCAATAAAAATTAACTTAAAAGATATGCAATTTTTTCACTCTTGACATTGTGAAAAGACTCCAGTTGATCACATTCATTTATTATTTTATTTGAAATATTTTATTTCAATTATTTATTGTAATATGGAACATATTTACTTTCTGAATATAATTTTTCTTTTACTTATTTCATAATGATTAGTAATGTATCAGTTTGGTACAGTAACCAGTTGAACCAAAAGTTTGTTGCTGTGTGTACTTTCTTTTCTTTTTTTTAAAATCAGTATTATTTATTTTGTTTAACAATTAGAAATTGTGCATATTTAAGGTGTACAATTTGATTATTTGATATACTCCTATTCTAAAATAATCACTACCATCAAGCTAATTAGATAGCTACCATTTTCTTTTTTTAATTTTTTTTTTGTGGTGATACCACTTGAGACCTACCCCCTTTGTAGTTAAGAATACAATAAATTCTTGTTACCCATAGTTTCATCGTTGTCCATTAGGTCTCCAGAACTTATTCCTCTTGCATAACTGCTTTGTACCCCGTGACCAAGATCTCCTCATTCCCCCTCACCTTAGCCCCCGGTAACCACCGTTCTACTCTCTGCTTCTATGTGTTTGACTATTTTAGATTCCATATGTACGTTATTTTTTTAGTAGGAGGAATAAAGATAGTCTTGAAAGGAAAACTATTTTGTCTTCAAAGACTTATCCTCTGCAACGGACCCTTTGGGACAGACAAGCCTGTTGACAGTGCCCACAGGGATGCTCAGACAGACGTTCATCACTGGAGACTCACTACGGATGACAAGTCATTAGGATGCAGCCACTATGAGTGTTAAAGATGAGAAGTAAAAGTGATAATAGGAATAACACTGAAGTGGACAGAATAGTAGAACAAAGGATGACTGAAACCATCTAACCATATTGTAATAGACTTCAAAGTTCTGGGAGACTAGACCTTAAATGTTCTCATCACAAAAAGGAAATTGTAATTATGTGACGTGTTAGAGACGTTAGCTAATGCTAGGGTGGTAATCATACTGCAATACATACATATTGTACATCTTGAACTTATGCAATGTTATATGTAAATTATAACAAAAAAAATCTAACTCATCTCACAATTTGCTCAAAGCAGCTTTGAAATAAGAAGAGGAGCAGCAATAAGAAATTCCACAAATGATTCACAGGCTGTATTCTGACCGGAAACAAGTGTTTCACTCACAACTGGATGCTTTCTCACTTTTAATAGTATGAAATGCTGTATCTTAAATAATAAAGAAAAGAATTCAAAAGCTAAGACATAAAAAATTGCTACATTGGGGAGGCGTTAATTTAACATCAGTATATGAATAAATTTGGGTAAAGTAGTTATTTGCACATTATGAAACACATAGATTTAAGGTTGAATCTTTTACCCTTGCAGCCTCTTCGAAAGTTGGTTTATGTGTCCGAATGTCAATGCCTCACCCTGCTCCGAACAAAAACAGGTAATACTCATCCCAAGCTGCAAGTGCACTTCTGTCAAACACATATTTATTTTGAACTGTGATCTTCTTCTGTAATTCCATTTCTCCATATTATGTATCTGTCATTTATTCAGTGCTTTTTAAATTTAAGGATAAAAGTTATGTGGAAAACACATACAGTTGGAAAAACATTTTCCAGGGATTACTTTAAGGGAAATGGTAAAGTGATAGGAAATGACTCTTTAGAGTAAAAACAATATAGAATTCCTGACTAAAATTAAGTATGCTTTTGCCCTCTAATGTACCAGCCAATGGTAGAGTAAATCTCAGGGAAATTTTCACAAAATTCCCTGAAGCATCATGCACAAAGATATTTACCACGACATCATTGAGGGTAACTGGGGGCTGGGGGCAGCTTAGATTTTCCTGACTTAGGAATACACAGGTGAACTGTAGTGAGCGCTCTCTACAGAAGACGTGGAGCAGGTAGAAGAAACGAACTATATGGGAATAGGGTAACGTGAAAAATAATAGAAAATGATTTTTTAATAGACAGATATGTTTTTAAAAACTGAATTAAATACCACACAAAACACTGCTATCAGCTTCAAAAATATAAAAAACTTGTACATGCACACAAACAAACGCTTACACACACGAGGACATGTATCCACCATGTTGGACTGGATGTCGGAGAGGGTTAAAAGAGTGGATACTGGGTTGAAGGAGACAAATGATATAACTAGAGAAGGGTTTGCATGGGGAAACAGAAGAAATATATCAAGAAAAGAAAGGAGACTGAGGAGATAATTAATTTAACTTCCATTTTTTTCAAGTATCAGGTGTGTCCATAAGGACTACAAATGCCAGAAGAAACACTGTCAAAGAATTATGGAAGACGTATGGTGCTGAAGAGATTTTGGTATTCAGTGGGATAGTCCGAGTCATCATAAACATAAAGGTTATAAAATTGAATAACAGCACTGTAAAATTTTATTTAATTATTTATAAAAATTCAGTATGCAAAACTACATGAACACCAAGATGCAACTATTAATAATAGATATAGAAAAAGAAAGGAAATGAAAGCATAAAGAAGCTTACAATTATGAGTGGGAATTTTTCCAAGATTTATTTTTTTAAAAAATTTTGTGAAAGTTGCAGGTTTATAGGTTTATTTTTTTAGATTCATATGTAATTTTGCTTATTTTCAAAAAATCCAATATTTTGGTTGTATTACTTACATAATGTGTAACTCTGGTTTGAGTACTTCTGTGTTTACAAAATATGACACTATGTCTGTAACATGCTAAATACATACCAGAGATTTCCTGGACTAGGGGAAAAGGTTATGCCTATACCCCATCAAATGAACTACCATGGGTGGCAAGATGAGGAACCCCAGTCCCTGTACTATAGCAGGATTTAAGCAATTACTTTTATCAGCTAGCTTTTGCTAATTTCAAATTGGTTTCTATGGAGAAGGAATTTTTTTAAATGAGCCATAATTCAATTTCCTGTGATACACACAAATGCCTATTTAGTGCATCATTCTAGAATTGTAGCGGACGCTCACATCTGCACAAATACCTCATCATTCATGTGAAACTGTGCTCCCAAATCAGGCTCTGATTGCTCTCCCTTCCCGCAGTGGTAGTAGGAAGCTAGCTCTACAACAGCCCTTCAAAGAAAAATTGTGGACTTCTGATGTTCCAAAGCTCGGAGAGGATAAGAAGTGTAAGAGATTCTAGGTCACAGGAGGGAAGTGAAAGTAAGAACAGCAAAGGCACGGCTCTAGCAATGGAGTCTCCCACAGCAACTCCAGCTGCGGAGGAGGAGGGCCTGCAATATACAGCACTCCCTTCGGTGGCTCCGTAAATCAGAGCCAGGAGGATTGTGGGAAAAATGGGTAAAGTCTCCCTTGGGCTCGAACTTGGAAGAGGTAGGTTGACAGCTGAAGTATTCTCCTCACGACTTATTCCAAATTCCTCAGCTAAGAGAACAAGAATGCCACAAAGCCTCAGGGACGCTGTCCATAAAATATTGCGTTAGCAGTATTAGTAGCAGTTAATAATTACTGTTAATTTTATCATTAATAATATTAATGATAATAGTATTATATGATATAGTAGAATTATAGTGGTAATATAGTATTATATTTGCATGATGGTTTTTCATTATTGATGCTATTATTATTTCATTATAAAATAGTCATAATAAAGACTTTTTTCTATCAGAACTAAGGCACTAGAAAAAAAACTAAAAATAAGTAATACTTGCATTTCTTTTTTTCCAGAGGGGTCAATTCTGCATCTTGATAAAAGTGCAATGTGTCACATTTTGAAAAGCAGACGTTGGATTTAAGTAGAAAATGGGTAGCACGTGCATTTTTGTTTCAATCTCTTTATCTCCTTATTTGCATCTGATATGTCAAATTATCAAGGAACTCTTCAGACAAAGAATAGGACCCAGGAATTAAATAAGTCCTCATAAGCCTTCATCTTTCATAAATTGTCGTAAAGTGTGAAGATAAGATCCAGGACAGGCTGATATTTAAAAGTTTCTGCTTATAGAATGACTCCTCCGATATTGCCATTGTTCTTTTACATTTTCTCTCTTCAAATTCTGGCAGGCATGTGATATCCCATACAGCAGCTTTTGAGGACAGAACTTGAATAATAAAACTTTGCCAGCTGATACTTACAAAAACTGAAAAGAGTTTATTTTTTAACTGCAGACAGTAAAAATTTAGCTGTTTATTGTTAGAGGTATAATATGAAAAAGGGTGACATCTGGGGGATGGATCACCATTAATCTGTGTAATTCAATAAATTGAAACTTTATTAATATGATTACGGGAAATATTAAAATATGTAACCAGAAACTTAATTGATGTGTTGATATAACTAAAAGACAACATATAAAGAAACTTATCCTACAGAAAATATAAAAAGTTTTTCTATTTCTCTCTAAATCAAAATTTAAAAGTTACTGGTGCTTTAACAAGTTTTTTTTTATCTTCACTAGAAGTTCTTTTAAACATATTTTCCAAAGGAATAATTATCAAAATATCATTTAAGTTTAAAGGAGGTGAATATTAACTTAAAGCAAAATGTATAACGATTAAATGGATATGATTTAATTATGAGTATCCTATAAAATCTTATTTTTCTCAATAAATCATAATGAAAAATCAGGGGGAAAGCAAGAATACATATTTTGATTCAAGGAAAATAAGAAATTTGAATGAAAATATGTTTTTATGGCTAAAAAATAAATACATGGATTTTTTTTAAAAAGGCTTTTTATTTATAGATGACATGATTGTCTTACTTAAAAAACTCCACCAAAAGAAAAACTACTGAAAGTAGTAAGTTAGTATAACAAGGTTTCAGTTTAATGGTTAATATTCAAAATTCAATTGTTTTTCTATATACCACAAATGAACAACTGGAATCTGAAATTTTAAAAATAAACATTTATAATGGCTCCCAGGAAAGTGAAATACTTAGTTACAAATATAATAGAAATGTAAAGTGTTTATATGAAGAAAACTGTAAAACTCTGATGAGAGAAATCAAAGAACACGTAAATAAATGAAGAGAAACTTAGTTTTCATGGAACATAAGACTCAATATTATGATGTTGTTCACCATGTGATCCAGTACAACCCTGATCAAAATCCCAGAAAGCTAGTTGGTAGATATTGACAAACTGGTTCTAAAGTGTATATGGAAAGGTAAAAGATCTAGACTAAGCCAACAACACTGAGGAAAAAGAACAAAGTTGGAGGACACTCATTACTCAATTTCAAGACATTATAAACTGCAGTAATCAGGACAGTGAGATGTTGTTGAAAGAACAGACATACAGGTCAATGGAACAGAGTGGAGAACCCAGAAAGAGACCACACAGATACAATAAACTGATCTTTGACAAAGGAGCAAGGGTAATCAGTAGATGAAACTTTAGAACAACTGGTCCTGGGAAGACTGGGTTTCCACATACATAGGCACAGACCTTACGTCTTTCATAAAGAAAAATTCAAATGCATCATAAACCTAAATGCAAAATATAGAACTACGCAACTTCTAGAAGAAGACATAGAAGAAAATTCTATGGTTTGCTGATGAGTTTTTAGATACAACACCAAAAGGTCAGTGAATAAAGGAAAAAACTTTATTAAAATTAAGAACTTCTCTGAGAAAGACACTATTAGAAGAATGAAGAGACAAGTCACTGATGGGGAAAAATATTTACAAACACAAATCTGGTATAGAAATTGTATTCAAAATATACAGAGAACTCTTAAAACTTAACAGGAAAACAACCCAATTTAAAAATGAGCAAAGGATCTAAGCAGAGAAACTTCACTAAAGAAGATAGACAAATGACAAGAAGCATGTGGGAAGATAATTAAATTAGGTTAAAATAATGAGATCCTACACACTTATTAGAAAGGCTAAAATTCAAAAACTGAAAATACCAGTTGCTGGCAGAGCAACCGGAACTCTCATTCATTGCTGGTGGGAATGCATAATGACACACTTTGCAAGACAGTTTAACAGTTATTTTGCAAAGCTAAACATAGTCTTACCATACAATCCAGCTATCTTGCTCCCAGGTATTTGCTCAGTTAATTTAAAATTTAAGCCCCCACAAAACCTGCATGCTAATGTTTATAGAAGCTTTACTCATAATCATCAAGTACTGGAAGCAATGTAGTAGTCTTTAACAGAAGAATGAAAAAACAGACTCTGGTACACCCATACAAGGGAACATTATTCAACAGTAAAAGGAAATGTACTATCAAGCCACAAAAAGACACGGATGAATCTGAAATCCATATCTCTAAGTGAAAGCAGCCAATCTGAAAATGTTACATACTACAATGAATTCCAATTATACAGCATTCTTGAAAAGGTAAAATTATAGAGACAATGAAAAATTGGTAGTTGCCAGGAATTCTGGAGAAGCAAAGGATTGAATGGGTGAAGAAGAGGAAATTTTTTAGAGCAGTGAAACTATTCCGTATGATACTATAGTTTGAGATACACAACACTATGCATTTGTCAAAATCCATAGACCCTCACAGCCAAAAAGGTGAACCTTCATGTCTACATATATATGTAAAATTTAGAAGGTCAGGGATTCCAGGATGGAATGCAGAATATGACAAAACAATCAAACTGTATTACAAATATGTGAAACTGCCTTAGGAAGTGGGTTGGGGAAAAATGTACTGACCTAAATAAGTTTGGAAATGAGTGTGGTCTGCAAGACCAAAGACAAAGGAAACCGGTATCAGTCTGGCTGCTAATGTTGTTTTCCATGGGGGCAGTATTTAACAATTCTGGCTCCACTATAGATGAATATATCCTGGAATTGAACAATTAATAAAAAGGATGGCAGATGATGGGAGGCATATTTCTCTCTTTTGGAGTGGGAGGTTACAGTTGGCAAGGGAAGTGGGCTGGAGTGATCCACATGGCAATGGATTAGAGGCAGTCAGTGTAAATTTACATAATTCAAAATTAATATTGAATTATAAAATAATAATTATAATGATGTGACATTAAAAATATGGAGAATTAAGGGGCCACCTGGTGGTGCAGCGGTTAAGTGCACACGTTCCGCTTCAGTAGCCCAGGGTTCGCCAGTTCAGATCCCAGGTGTGGACGTGGCACCTCTTAGAAAGCCATGCTGTGGCAGGCATCCCACATACAAAGCAGAGGAAGATGGTCACGGATGTTGGCTCAGGGCCAGTCTTCCTCAGCAAAAAGAGGAGGATTGGCAGCAAATGTTAGCTCAGGGCTAATCTTCCTCAAAGGAAAAAAAAGAAGGAAAAAAATATGGAGAATTAAAAGTCATAGAAAAATATCCCATAACACAAGAGAAAATGAACACACAAAGTATTCTAAGGTCCTTGCAGTGTGTGGAAGGATAGTAAGATAAAATATCCATACTATATTC